CCCCTCCTACGTCCTCTGCATCTCCAGCGACACCTGCTCCTTGATCTGCCGCTCCATCTGCGCAAAGCGCCGGTGAAAGGGCTCCGCCTGTTCGGGCTTGCCCGCCCGCTGGTAGACGTCGCCCACCAGCTTGCAGGCCCGCATCTGACCGAGCTCACAGGCGCGACTGCCCAGGGCGATGGCCTTCTCGTCGTCGCGCGCCAGCACGCCGCCCTTCAGCCCGGCGGCGTAGAAGAAGGCCGCCGCGTAGCAGCTCTCACTCGACTCGAACATCTGCGCCGAGGACTTGAGGTTGCAGCCGTGCTCCAGGTAGGCCAGCCCTCGGACGACGTCGGTCTGGATGGGGCCACCGGCCTGGGCGGAGAGGGACGGCTCGNACCACATCGGTCTTGATGGGGCCACCGGCCTGGGCGGAGAGGGACGGCTCGCAGCCGGTCAGCAGCTTGCCGGCAAAGTCGCAGCCGACGGCGTCGTCGGCGTCGCAGGCCTTCACGAAGTGCTCGAACGCCGCGGCGGGGTTCTTTGGCGTGCCTGGAAGAGGAAGACAAAATGATCGTCAAAACATGATAAAGTAGAAACAAAACCGAAGCGTTTCCTACCTCGACCGCCGAGCAGATTGNAGCTTGCCGGCAAAGTCGCAGCCGACGGCGTCATCGGCGTCGCAGGCCTTCACGAAGTGCTCGAACGCCGCGGCGGGGTTCTTTGGCGTGCCTGGAGGAAGAGGAAGAAGAAGAAGAAGACAAAATGATCGTCAAAAGGTGATGCAGGAAGTAGAAACAAAACCGAAGCGTTTCCTACCTCGACCGCCGAGCAGATTGAGTCCGAATGAGGAGCAGCTGCGGCCGTAGTTTCTCTTCTCGCAGTTCTCACTGAAGACCTTGTTCGCCTTCACGTAGTCGCCCTCGATTTGCGCGNAACCGAAGCGTTTTCTACCTCGACCGCCGAGCAGATTGAGTCCGTAGGAGGAGCAGCTGCGGCCGTAGCTTCTCTTCTCGCAGTTCTCACTGAAGACCTTGTTCGCCTTCACGTAGTCGCCCTCGATTTGCGCGAAAAAGTCGCCCAGAAGTTGACATCCTAAGGAAGGGAGAGAAAGAACAACTGATCAAGAACAATTCTCAACAAAACAACAAGAGGACAGCTTCTTTCACTCTTACCCTCCGGGTTCTTCTCCCCGTAGCAGCTGTACTTGTACTCGGTGCACAGGTTCTTCAGGTAGTCCTGCACCTCTTCCTTGTCCTTGAGCATGGCGTCGTCCATCGTCACGCGTCGTCCACCGTCTTCTTCTTCTTCTTCTTCCCACAGAACACCAGAAAAAATTCTAAAATGCCACTTTAGAGAATCAAAACAACAACAGCAGCAGCAAGAACAGCCGAATCCTCGTGGTTGGTGCATCAGCTGATCGCCTAGTAGTGCCATCTGTCAGTGGCCAGCAAGAACTTTAAAACAGTTCAAATCTGCTGAAGCATTCACTCTCGGTAAGTTACCACTTTTCATTTCAAATAGAATCAACTTATTTATTGAAGAAATATGTGTGTGTGATACAAATAGAGAGAATGGGAAAAGAAAATATAAATAATAGTCAAAAAGAAGAATCAGCAGTTAAGAAAATGGGAAAGAGGGAAGTGGTGTGTAAGTGTATACAACATACAGACAGAATGGTGTTGTGTGTAGTAAGCAATGACAATGTACAGCAAAGAAATGGAAAAAAAGTACAAAAAGAAGAAAAGAAAAAGTAGACTCTATGACTAGTGTCAGGTAGTGGGTGGTGGTGGTGACGCCGTCTGATGTAAAAGTAGTGGTATTTACAGTGTACAAAAAAGAGAGTATAAGAGAATGCCTAGCAATGATAGCAAGAAAGAAAAA